TAGTTAATACATTATCTAATTCATACTCGATGAAGAGAAGTTCTTCAGAAGCACTCTCTAAATTTGTTTTAATATGAGTTGGAAGGTTTTCACGCATGAATGTTTTGGACCAGTCATTTATGAGGTCATTTGCTTTTTCAAGAGGAAAGAGAAGAACAACATTGCCAGTCTTTTTCCTGGTTATTTTATTTATACCTTTCCAAGCCAAACTTAAAGGAGTGGACCTGTTTAATCCACTAACAAATTGTTCCCATTCCTGTTGCCTAAGTTCTTGCTTTCTATTCCTTGCATTTGTTAGTGCAGCTTGGAACGTTCTGAGCAGGTCTGGGGTTCTACATTCACGGTATGCTTTACCAATCCTCCTAGCTGCTGCATGTGTTATACTGTGTAGCTCTGGAACATTATAGTATTTACATTGGTTTTTATTGTCAGTTATAGTTCAAATTCAAATTCAAATTCAAAGTTTATTCTCTATAAGGATTACAATGCTGAGTTTACAGAAATTTGGTTATTGTTTGGTTTACATGTAGTAAAATTGTGATTACAGAGTGTACCACTAGAACGCTTAGCATGGCTAGGCATTTCGGGCAGACTTAGTCTATGTTTTCTTTTCCTGCGCACTTGATCTGTGAGGACTGTCTCAATAGTGGCAACTAAATCATCGTTGAATTGTTGTGTGCCAATGGGCTCGTAATTCTTTTACCATTGATCCAAGTTAGTTTAATATCTTTATTATGAACCCCATACCCATGGTGTGGGCGGTAGTCAAAAGATTACAAAGGTACATAATGGGTCCAGTGACTGGACCCCAAAGTTATGATAGCTGAACTAGTTACAAAGGTAATGAACTCCAGGTAGATCTGGTCACAATCATGGCAAGTTACAGAGGTGATGAATCAGCCTCACTCCTATACACAGTTACAGTCATGAACAAATTACAAAGTAATGAGCCACTGATACGTCCACACCTGGTCACAATTGTAATGAGCTATAAATACAAATATTAAGTGGGTCATACACCCACACAAGCGCGCGCGCGCACACATACACACACGAGGGCGCACGCACGGACATACGCACACGAGCGTACAAATATATGGTATCTTTATTATGATATAAAATACCGACAGGTTGTTAGGTAAGACACATATGCAACAGTTAGGTATCTTTATTATGAATAAAGATACCTAACTGTTGCATATGTGTCTTACCTACAAATATATGTATACAAACAGCCACGCACGCACACACACACACACACACACACACATACATGGTAATGCTTTATTTACAGCTAACAAAGTCAGGGTATTTCTCCAGAATGGTCTGTAATATACCACTGTGGATAAAATACTTTGCCATTTCTTGAACATTTCTGAGTGAGTTGTCTCTAAATTCATTAATTTTATCGCACTCCAGTACATAATGACGCAAGGTGTGACAATAGTCCATCTGGCAAAGTTTACATTTCGTTTGGTCTACATCTGGTGGTGGTGATTTAACCTGCCAAAGATACTTGTAACCCAGCCGGAGCCGGGCAGTAGTGACAGCCGGAGCCGGACGGTAGTGACAGCCGGAGCCGGGCGGTAGTGACATCCAAGAGTCGGCTTATTTTGTTGGATACACCATAGACATCTGGCTCCTCCATTTTTTTACCACTTGGATCAATGGAGGAGCCATTGATCCAAGTGGTTAATAAAGTTGTCTCTGTGCTCTGGTTTGAGAATAAGTTTCCTCCTTCTGTATTTAGCTTCTTGATTACTGGAGATGTGATCAAGATTGACAGTTGTTAGTCTTGGGAAGTGATCAGATAGAAGATCATCAACTATGACAGTCATGCATCGTATATGATGTATTAAATCCAAGACACAGATCTAGTATGCCACCATATATGTGAGTAGGCTCAGTAGTGCCCACAATTCGAACATTATCATGCTCATTTAGCAATTTCACTAGTTTAGCTCCATTGGTGTTTGTTATAGACCCACCAATATTCTTATGTCTGGCATTAAAATCTCCAAGAATGATGGTAGGTTCACTATTGATGCGATCTGGTAAAGCATCAGGTCGAAGCTGGTTCGCTGGGGCATAGAGATTAAAAATGTTTATGGAAAATAGCCTGCATATACTTTGACACCATGATACTGCATGTTAACTCGACTCTGCAAGGAAAGGAGTGAATGTGGCAAGTTCTTTCTGACATACATCACACAACAGTTGGTTGACCTTAGGTTATAAGCTGCATATCCAGGCAAGTTTGGTGGAGGTGCTCCATCTTTCAATCTACATTCCTGCAAACAGATGACATCAATATTCTTGGTTGCACTAATATGATGTAAGTCAGGTAACCGCTTCCTGATGGAAGCAATGTTCCATGAAAAGATTTGTAATGTATCCATTGTAGTGAGTTATTACAATCTCTTGCTTATAAGACGGTAAGACTATTATGCTTTGGCTACAGTGTGCAGACACTTAAGAGCAAATAGCATAGTTTGTTCGTCTTTATCTTCAGGACATTTTACTTTAAGCATTTTTCGGCATCTTGGCAGCCAGTTCCAATGCAAGTTTTGAAGCCATGAGTCATGGGCTTCTTTCTTACAAATTGCTTGAAACTGGACAGGGATTGCTGCACTTTTTACATGATCAACGTACTCAAGAGCATCATCCTGACTACATATATTTATTAAACTCGTCAGCGTCTGCTCAAGCTGCTCAATTTTTTCAAATTATAACAAGATGTTATAATTTGAAAAAGGTTAGGTTAATCCAGTGCCTCTCCAGTGGATGGCACTTCTGAGGTAGTTCTTTCTGTAACACCTATCACCTTAACAGGTGCCATGGTTACATTAGTGTTCTCTGATGATGCCTGTGGCAAGACTGCCTCATCATTTCATTGTAGGTAGGTCCTGTGCATGTGACTCACCTCCAGCTTCCAGGGGGGTTACAAGTGTGGTGTTCGTCTGACTGTTGTAGATGTGTGTATTGGGAAAATGACATGCTCATCCCCATATTCAGGTGTAGGCGTATGTATAGGCGTTGGCAGATCAGTAGTTCTACATGTGATAGCAGGGATGGCTAGCTCCTCCACAGCTGTTGTGAGTGATGGCATTCTGGTATCACCAGCATCCTTTGCAGGGAGGTTGGGCTCTTCCATACTTTGCAGAGGTTCAGTCTCAGATCTGGCTGTGGTAGACTGGATAGTCTCATCCTGGGTTACCATTAAAGAACTGTTATCAGGTTTACGTCGAAGGCTGTTTGGGTTCCGACTGCTGTCCTTATGGGAAACTGTAACCCCAACTTCTTTACAGTTAATACACTTAAATTTTTGGCTGACAAGACCTACTGTGCATTCTCTAGTGGAATGTTTCCCAGCACACTTACCACACCAAGAATGTAGTATTTCACAGTCTACTGCAACATGGCCATATTGCTGGTATTTGTAACACCTGCGTCGAGGGGGTAGGTACACTTCAATGTTTAGGAAACGTAGGCCAGGCACCCAGATATTTCGGGGGAGGGACACAGGACCTATCCAACTGGCATTAATTTGGGATTCTTTCTTTAAGTCTTTTAGGCTTGATGATATGTTCACGAGTGCACTGAGAGACAACACAATAAGTGTCAGGGGCCAAAAACTGTGTAACTGCCACCCAGCATACATAAGGGGGATAACCAATAGACCCCTGACTGTCTTCAAGAAGACGCTGGACAGGTACCTAAAGTCAGTACCTGACCAGCCGGGCTGTAGTTCGTACATCAGTTTGCTTGCGAGCAGTAACAGCCTGGTTGATCAGACCCTGATCCACCACGAGGCCTGGTCTCACACCGGGTCGCGGGGGCGTTGACCCTCGAAACCATCTCCGGGTATACTCTACAAGTACATGTACAAGGTATACAGACCATAGCTGACATCAATGACATACTACTATATAGAAAACCACTTATTATGTAGAGCATTTCGGGCAAATTAGGTCAGGATGCGACCCACACCAGTCTACTAACACCCAGGTACCCATTTTACTGATGGGCAACATAGACAACCGGTGAAATGAATCACGTCCAATGTTTCTACCCTCACCGGAAATCGAACCTAAATCCTCGCCGTGTGACGCGAGATCTTTAGCCACCAGGCTATTATTATCCTCAGAGCGGAAAAATGGAACTGGCTAAAACCGATGACCAGGTGCCCCTCCTGTAGAGTTCCCGCCGGACAAAATAAAGATACCCAAGTGTTGCACGTGTGTCTAATTTATCAAAATAGATGAGGATGAGAGTCCCAGAGACAGCGAGGTAAATGTATCACCGAAACTCAGGGGAGAGAGAGACGTCAGAGTAAGTAAGTTTATTCAGGTATACACAAATACAGTTACATAGACTTATCATACATAGCAGCATAGTAAGTAAGTAAGTAAGTAAATTTATTCAGGTATACACAATACAGTTACATAGAATTATCATACATAGCAGCATATGTGTAGAGAACCTGGGATAACCCAAAAAAGTCAGACAGAGTGACTTATTTCCATTGAGAGAGACCACAGTGGAAATAAGTCACTCTCTCTGACTTATGTTTAGGTTCCCCCAGGTTCTCTACACATATGCTGCTATATATGATAATCTATGTAACTGTATTTGTACATTAAAATGGTATAAAATACCGACAGGTTGTTAGGTAAGACACATATGCAACAGTTAGGTATCTTTATTTCGAAACGTTTCGCCAACACAGTAGGCTTCTTCAGTCGAGTACAGAAAAGTTGATAGAAGCAGAAGATACTTTAAGGGTGATGGACTGATTACATCGTCTTCAAGTATCTTCTGCTTCTATCAACTTTTCTGTACTCGACTGAAGAAGCCTACTGTGTTGGCGAAACGTTTCGAAATAAAGATACCTAACTGTTGCATATGTGTCTTACCTAACAACTGTATTTGTGTATACCTGAATAAACTTACTAACATAGGCTGGAACAGAAGTTCTTATATGTAGCCGTTCCTGAATGAACTTGCTAAGACGGTGCAAGTTCTGGTCGCCCTATAAATCATAAACAAAACAAGAAAAATTTATTAACTTCATCTTCTAGGAAGAATAATACATTATTTTCGCAGTTTTTTTGAAAGTGAAATATGGAATCTGGAGTGAGTATAAACCTACAAGATTTTTGATTGATTTTTAGGACTAAATTCTGAAAATTAACTTAAAATGAGTTGGAATTGGGATAGCCCAATGGGGTTCCTAATCCAGGTTAATAACCCAGTTAAACATGCCATGTGGCTTATTTAAACTGGGTTAATTTAATTCCCTAACCCAGGAGGCTAACCACACCAATTGACTGACACTGCTCACACTTGGAGGGTCCGGGTTCAATCCCAGGCACGGGTGGGTAAGTAGGGTGTAAGATGGCTAACACCCAGGTACCTACTTACTGTTAGGTGAACAGTGACAGCATGTATAAGGAAACGTACCTAACATTTCACCTGTGCCTGAGACTGACCCGGACGCTGACCGGGCTTTAGGGGTATTGACCCCTACTGCCCGGTGTGAGGGGAGTGCGTCTCTTCAAACAAGTCTCGCACACAGAAATCACTCCCTACGAAAGTAAAAGACTGAGCAGGTGCTGCAAAATACCCCTAATGAAAAGTAGGGGCGCTATTGGTACACTTAAAGAAAATACCATAAGTGTCTGGGGTCCAAGACTGTTCAACAGCCTCCCACCAAGTATAAGGGGAATTACTAATAGGCTCCTGGCTGCCTTCAAGAGGGAGCTGGACAGATACTTAAAGTCGGTGTCGGATCAGGCGGGCTGTGGTTCATACGTTGGACTATGTGCAGCCAGCAGTAACAGCCTTGTTGATCAGACCCTGATTCACCGGGAGGCCTGGTCGTGGACTGGGCTGCGGGGGCATTGATACCTGGAGTCTACCCTCCGGGTAGACTCCAGGTAGATAAGCAGAAACTGGCAAGTGTGATACCCATTTACAAAGTAGTAGGTAGATCCTTAGTAACAAATTATAGACTAGTCAATCTTATCTCGATTGTGGGAAAGTTGATGGAATCGATAATTTAGCATAGAATTTGTAGCCACCATTGAAGATATAAGTTGATCAGTAAATTTCCTTTTGGTTTTATGAAGGGCATTCTTGTCTTGCAAATTTATTAACTATTTTCACTAAGTTAATCAAGGTGTTAGACAGAGATAAAGAATATGATATTAGTCATATGGATCTTTGTAAGGACTATGATGGAGTTTTACACGCACATGTCTGATGAAGAAAGTAGCTGCTTATGGAGAAGATATTATCTCCTGGAGAGATGTGTGTTGGGATTTTTATCTTGGAGGGTTAGCCACCCAGGATAACCCAATAAAGTCAGTGGATCATTGAGGACTGTCTCTCCTATTTCCATTGTGGTTCTTTGATCTTGTTCCCCAGAATGCAACCCACACCAGTCAATTAGCACTCAGGTACCTAGTTATAGAAATAACTAAACACCTAATTTTTTCACCCCTGCTAGTGACTGATCCCATACTTAGTGTTTCATCCATGCAGGGCATACCAAATTTTTTTACTAATACCATAAAAATTTGCATATACACATCAGTATGTACTGGTACTGATACTAAAATTGGCCAATACCCACCAGTAAAGGTAGTTTTAGTCAATACCTACTAATCAGACACGTCGCTAAGGTTGATGCCACCCGGGGTGGCATCTCTGGTGTCACTCCCATGAAATCCAAGGGCGGGGGATGGGGGGGGAGTAAACTCCAGTTACATCACTACTGCATGACCAATGACAAATGTTTAGCAATGAGAACATTTAAGGGTAATAAACTGAACAGGAGAATACTTCTCGACTTTATTAATGATAAAATAAATACAATTGTAGTAATATTGAAGAAACATAAATATCACTTTGAGTACAGGCAACAGATCCTACATTTATTCATCTTCAACAATGCCAAAAGAAAAAAATAAAGAAAAACATTACAATATCAAAGAAACACTATTTACGATTTGACCTGGAGTACAGGTAACATCTCATTCAATCTGATCTTACATTTCCTTGCCTTCAATCCTGCAAAATCATCTATCACATCATCAAAATCAATGGTTTTTCCCTATATAGGCCTGTAATCATATAATAGGCTATATTATATAGGCAGCACTGTTTTGGGCATTGGTGTCTACTTCTTTAAAGGCTCTGTGGTGTCACCCCGGGCAGCCCGTCTCCCTTACGATGCCACTGCTACTAATACAAATACTTTGGCACTTGCCCCTAAAGTTTCTCAATATGCAACAGCAAAAAGTTTGTATGAATGGGGAGAAACCAGAATTGGTACCCATTATGAGTGGTGTGGCTCAGGGGTTATTATTGGGGCCCTTATTGTTAACAGTCTTCTTAAGCAGGTTTGTAGATGATACTATAATGGACCATCAAATAATTTCTGATGAGGAATGCTGCTAGATGACCTGTATTTAAATTCAAAGTTTTATTCTTTTGATGCAGTACAAAGATAATGTAGTTTACATATAAAACATTATTAGGCACAAAAGAAAGCCACTAGTATGTAATTAATTTCGGGTTGATGTGGTCAGAGAAGTGGCAGATGCATTTCATTGCAGACAACTATAACAAGTAAAGACAGTAACTATGGCATTTATAAGGTACATAATATGGATCTTTGTCAAAGTGAATGCACAAAAAATGTTCTAGAAATTCTGGCTAGCAGAAATTTTGGGTTAAGACAACAGTGTCTTAGTACTTGCAAACCTTCTTCTTTCAACAAACCAGCCGTATCCCACTGAGGCAAAGTGACCCAAAAAGAAAAACTGAAGTTTCTCTCTTTAAATTTAGTAATGCATACAGAAGAAGGGGTCACTAGCCCCTAGCTCCTGGAATGTTAGTCACCTCATAAAAAGGAAGAATTCGGTTCCACTTCTCCATGGAGATAAGAGGAAATAAACAAGAACAAAAGCTAGTAAGAAAACCCAGAAGGGTGTGTATATACAGTGGAATCTCTACTTACGAGTGCATCCACGTGCCAGTTTTTCCAGATACGAGCAGTTGCTCGGTCGATTTTTTGCTTCCAGACATGCCCATGCACTTTGCCCCAGGGCTAGACTCATGGAACTCCGTGTTCATCAAGAACTGCAAGAAGCCCCTATCACGAGCTTTTACCATCCTATGGAGAGGGAGCATGGACACGGGGGTCGTCCCACAGTTACTAAAAACAACAGACATAGCCCCACTCCACAAAGGGGGCAGTAAAGCAATAGCAAAGAACTACAGACTGATAGCACTAACATCCCATATCATAAAAATCTTTGAAAGGGTCCTAAGAAGCAAGATCGCCACCCATCTAGATACCCATCAATTACACAACCCAGGGCAACATGGGTTTAGAGCAGGTCGCTCCTGTCTGTCTCAACTACTGGATCACTACAGCAAGGTCCTAGATGCACTAGAAGACAAAAAGAATGCAGATGTAATATATACAGACTTCGCAAAAGCCTTCGGCAAGTGTGACCTTGGTGTAAGAGCGCACAAAATGCGTGCTAAAGGAATAACAGGAAAAGTTGGTAGATGGATCTATAATTTCCTCACAAACAGAACACAAAGAGTAGTAGTCAACAGGGTAAAGTCTGAGGCATCTGTGGTGATAAGCTCTGTTCCACAAGGCACAGTACTCGCTCCCATCTTGTTTCTCATCCTCATATCTGACATGGACAAGGATGTCAGCCACAGCACTGTCTCTTCCTTTGCAGATGACACCTGAATCTGCATGACAGTGTCTTCCATTGCAGACACTGCAAGGCTCCAGGCAGACATCAACCAAATCTTTCAGTGGGCTGCAGAAAACAATATGAAGTTCAATGATGAGAAATTTCAATTACTCCGATATGGTAAACATGAGGAAATTAAAACTTCATCAAAGTACAAAACAAATTCCTTCCACAAAATAGAGCGAAAAACCAACGTCAAAGACCTGGGAGTGATGATATCGGAGGATCTCACCTTCAAGGACCATAACATTGTATCAATCGCATCTGCTAGAAAAATGACAGGATGGATAGTGAGAACCTTCAAAACTAGGGATGCCAAGCCCATGATGACACTCTTCAGGTCGCTTGTTCTATCTAGGCTGGAATATTGTTGCACACTAATAGCACCTTTCAAGGCAGGTGAAATTGCTTACCTAGAAAATGTACAGAGAACCTTCACAGCACGCATAACGGAGATAAAACACCTCAATTACTGGGAGCGCTTAAAGTTCCTGAACCTGTACTCCCTGGAATGCAGGTGGGAGAGATGCATAATTATACACACCTGGAAAATTCTAGAGGGACTAGTACCGAACTTGCACACGAAAATCACTCACAACAAAAGCAAAAGACTCGGTGGACGATGCAACATCCACCCAATTAAAAGCAGGGGTGTCACTAGCACGTTAAGAGACAATACAATAAGTGTCAGGGGCCTGAGACTGTTCAACTGCCTCCCAGCATACATAAGGGGGATTACCAATAGACCCCTGGCTGTCTTAAGCAGGCACTGGACAAGCACCTAAAGTCGATACCTGACCACCCAGGCTGTGGCTCGTATGTTGGATTGCGTGCAGCCAGCAGTAACAGCCTGGTTGATCAGGCTCTGATCCATCAGGAGGCCTGGTCACAGACCGGGCTGTGGGGGCGTTGACCCCTGGAACTCTCTCCAGGTAAACTCTAGACGCGAGCAAAATTTTCAGATGCGAGCGGGCCTCAAGGGTGTTCCTTGACACTGGTGAGAGGCTCTTGCTCTTGATCTAGGGAATTGGATGTCAGTTGTTTGTTGGACTATCTTACTGAAACTAAGGCAATGTATGATGGAAAGAGGCTTCTGAGCGTACACCAAAAATGAAACAGACTGGACCATAAATAACGGAGCTCACTTCTAAGCCATTAGCCGCCTTTTAGCGGTATTTTTGTATAGTTTTTATGGTTGTATTATCGTTTTTTTGGTCTCATTTGATAGAATGGAAGATATACAGTGGTCCCTCATTTTTCGTAATTAATCCGTTCCTGGAGGAGCTACTATAAACGAAATTTACGATTTGTGAATCAATTTTCCCCATAAGAAATAATGTAAATACAATTAATCTGTTTCTGACACTCAGAAGTATTAAAACAAAAAAATTTTTTACATGAAATATACATGTAGTACATAAACAATACAATGGGAAATGATGAATGAAACATTAACAGCATAACACTTACCTTTATTGGAGATTCTTCTTAGTGTATGGGAGACTGGAGGAGGAGAGAGATTGGATTGTTTACAGTTTGGAAGGGGAATCCCCTTCCAGCAACACCTCAGGTACCAATTGCTTCTCTGGGGTTGCTTCTCTTCTCTGTTTCTTAATGCCACTAGGACCACCTTGAGAGTCACTCTAGTCCTGTCTCGCAAAGTAACTGTGGAGAGAGCTCTGTTTCTGGCGTCTAACACTTCCCTAAAATGGTACAAGACTTTGTCACTGTACATATTTCTCACCTTCTTTACCACAGGCTTGGCACTAGGAGCTTTCTTTGGAGCCATGGAAGCTTATTTAGTACTTGCAAGCACTAAAATGAGTGGAATATTATGAAATATTTCGTAGGAGCACTTGAGGGGACCTTCACTCACTGGTAAACAATGCCAGACTGGCTCGGTAGGGAGGCCTCCCCGGCTCACACCGTGCGTAAGCGTCCTGGACGAACTACTATTCGCGAGTCAACCTATGAAAAGCGAGTCCATGTTTATACGAAAATACCCCTATGATTGGCGAAATTTACGATTGCCGAGAACTACGAAAAGCAAGGGACCATTGTATTACAGAAATAGATATAATTTTATTGGTTTCATGATGAAAAGTACCTTAAAACTGAGCTCCAAGTAGCAGAAATGTTCGATTCTTTGGCAATGTTCAAGAGTAAACAAATGATGTCACTCTCCATTCCAATATGCAGTCATGAATGGGTTGACACTATTTAAACAATTATTACGATAATGCAGTAGTCTGCATAAAAGTAAATCTTCTATTTTTTGTGTGAATAAAAATTCCAAACTATTTGTATAATAATAATAATAATAATAATAATAATAATAATAATAATAATAATAATAATAATAATAATAATAATAATATAATCTTATAATAATAATAAGATTCTTAAATGTTTCTCACAATTATATCACATAAATGTTAAACCTAAGACCCAATCTAACTTTGTTATTATTTAAATACACTACCTAATGGAATACTCCATTCTACTGAATGTACAGCAATGCATGCAACCATATGACCTGTCTTTGTAATACTCATTTGTGCTTTATTGTTATTTGTTTACAATAATGTTTTATCATTGATTACATCATTGCTTAGTTAATCTTAAGTTAATTTTAAGCCAGCCCGTAATGCTATGCATATAAGTAGCTTTGGCATGCTGCTCTTACCTGTATTTTTTGTACCTCTGTATGTATGTTCAAATTATAAAATAAATAACTAAATAAATAATAATAATAATAATATGTATAATTATAATACATGGAAAATTGACTCTGCAAACGAGCAAATCCAGATGCGAGCAAGCTCACGGAACGGATTAAACTCGTAAGTAGAGGTTCCATTGCATATGCTTGTATACATGTATATGTAGTGTAACCTAAGTGTAAGTAGAAGTAGCAAGATGTACGTACCTGAAATCTTGCATATTTATGAGACAGAAAAAAAGACACCAGCAATCCTACCATCATGTAAAACAATTACAGGTTTCTGTTTCACACTCACTTGGCAGGACGGTAGTACCTCCCTGGGTGGTTGCTGTCTACCAACCTACTACCTAGGTATTTGCAAATATGTTAATAAAATTATTGGCATCATATCAAGAAATGTAAATAATGAAAGTCTTAAGGTTATATTTCAACTTTATATATCTTTTGTTGACATCATTTTAGATTATGCTCTCTGATTTGGTCACTATGTTACAGATTGGGATTAAATGTTCTAGAGAATATACATAGAAGGATGACAAAGCTGATCTCATGTATATGACACCTTTTCTGTGAAGTTAGGCTAAAGTAGTAGGACCTAGTAGAGTAGTAAGACTCTCGATACTCATCAAACTTATGGAATGACGTAAAATTAGGGAGAATATAACTTATGTGTACAAATGGAGAACAGGAATAAAGAGGATATCAATAACATGCTGAAAATATGTAACCCAGACAGGATTTGCATAAATGGATTCTACTGTGTGTGGAAGTACTGGTTTGGCAGTATAGTTGTAGAGGAGTCTAACAAATTCTCAACTTAAACTGAGTCTATTTGTAGATGACATGACTTGTTGAGGTGGTTTGGACATTTAGAGAGGTGGAACAAAACAGAATGACTTTGAGGGTGTATAAATCTTTAGTGGAAGGAAGGCGGGGTTGGAGTTGGCCTAGGAAAGGTTGGAGGGAGGGGGTAAATAAGGTTTTGTGTGTGATGGGCTTTGACTTCTAGCAAGCATGCATGAGCATGTTAGATAGGAGTGAGTGGAGGCAAATGGTTTTTATGACTTGAGAATAAAAATGGTTACAATAATAACCATAACTTTTAAAGGGATGGGCCAGTAAGCCAGTGGAAGGCCTCGATCAGATGACCAAAAGCTCCAACTGTGGGTCATTATATGACTAAGACTCGCATCAGGAAACACTTGTCCTGTTTCCTGACAAACTTTACCTAACCTAATACGTATATGACTTAACGTGTTGGACTGTTAGCAACATTTGGGGTCCCAGACTATTCAACATCTTACCAGAAGATATCAGAAACATGGCTGGAACAAGTGCAGAAGCCTTCAAGAGGAAACTGGACAAGTATCTCCAACAGGTGCCAGATCAACCAAGCTGTGATGAATATGTGGGGCAGCAGGCCTCCAGCAGCAACAGCCTGGTTGACCAAACCAGCACCAGATGAGCCTGGCCCATGGCTGGGCTCCAAAAGTAGTGAAACTCTCGAAACTCTTCAAAGGTATATCAGAGGTAAGGTAACATTTATGAAGGATTCAGGGAAATGGGTTAGCCAGACTTAAGTCCTGGAGGTGGGAAGTACAGTGCCTGAAGGAGGGGTGTTAATGTTGTTAATGTTAATCTAGCAAGAGAGTAGTGATGGAGTGAGTGATGATGAAAGTGTTTTTTCTTTTTTGGGTCACACAGCTTGTGTGAGAAACAGCTGATGTGTTAAAAAAAAAAGTCTTGTGTCATCTCAAATGCACATCCAGTTGTGCTTAACAACACAGTTAATGGCAAGCTTGGAAAGATATCTACGTATCTGGATCAGAACTAAGAAACTCACACTCAGTATTGGCAAAACTCTCAATGTATATAATGTTTGGGAACAAAACTAAAAATATTTTTTTGAACAAAGATAAATAATGAAGCAATTGATAGACAGGATGGGTGAAAATTCCTAGGAATATACTGTACCCTAACTTAAAACTAAAATTTGATACATGCTTCCAGCACTTTTCTAAGAAAAGAAACCAAGGAGCAGGTAGGGCTTGAACCCTGGCAAGTGAGTTCTAAAACTCACAGGTATGGGATTCGTCTGTAAAAACCTGCATTTGTGGTCACATTGGTGGCCCATGCTAGCATTCCTATGATGTATGTAGGCTTACTGAACTGAGGTACATGGTTGTGATTTCTGTGCTGATGTGTTTCGTGCTCTGCAAATAGTTAATGTTTGCATTAGAGTGCTCAGGTGTTCTATAAAGTATTTCTGGTATGTTTTACCCTGCAGTCTTTTTTATAGAGCTGAGTAGAAGACATTATTTATGAAGATGATTACACATTTTTAAACTTTCTGACCATCCAGCACCAGATATATGCTGTTGTCAAGGCTCTCTTTTCTTACATATATTTTATAGTATGATAGGCTTTCGTTCCTTATTGTCTGAGCTCTGAATGAGTCTACATTTATTATTTTTCTTCATTTTACTCGTCCAGTAACTTTTTTCCATCATATTTAGCTGTACTGATTTGTTTGACAATCTTTTGAGTAGGAGACAGTCTGTATTTCTTAATGCACATCCTTTTAAAAAATTTTCTCATTGTTTCTAATTCTACAAATGCTTAGTTCAGTCAGACAGAATTTATAAGTAGTTTCTTACATGTGCACCACTTCTAGTTTTCACTAAGAGTGAATCTGTGACTTTGGTATGCCTAGCATCTCCATCATTATAGAGTAATGGTTCAGAACCAACATGTTGATTCATTAGACACATGCGCAACACTTGGGTATCTTTATTGTGGAAACGTTCCACCACGTAGTGGCTTCCTCAGTGGAATACAGAGAAGAATGGATTAAGATCAGAAGGAGTTTGAGAGATTGTTTACCTCAAACCCCTTCTGATCTTCACTGTTCTTCTCCATGTTGTACTGAGGAAGCCACTGTGTGGCGAAAAATTTCCACAATAAAGGTCCCCAAGTGTTGCATATGTGTCTAATTTATTATCTCCAGCAATACTAGTAAGAGATAAGATTTCGTTTGGATTTTTAATCCCCGGAGGGTTAGCCACCCAGGATAACCCAAGAAAGTCAGTGCGTCATCGAGGACTGTCTAACTTATTTCCATTGGGGTCCTTAATCTTGTCCCCCAGGATGCAACCCACACCAGTCGACTCTTAGTTGCCATGGCTAAGATATGGCGATGAAAATACCCAAAATACTTTGATAAGTGTAGAGTAAAACACAAGACACTTCCAGAATACAGCTGTAGATGGCATAGATTGTCAGTGGGAGAGAAGGGGACATGTACGTACCAAGGTGTGTAGCTAAGGTATCTGCTGCCAATATTTCATGAGTTACCTTATTCTTTAATTTTAGGGCATTTAATATGAAGATATACAACATTATGTACTCTCCACAGCTTGTTGGATTGCGAGCTGAGCTGCATAAAAAGCGTGAGGAGGCAAGCAAGTTTGGCGTTGGACAGAGAGGACAACCAGGGAGGGATCGAGGGAAGCTGATCAAGACATCTAAATCCTTTGAGTCATCTAATGCTGGAGTTAGCAGCAGAGATGCACGAGATAAAGAACAACTTGAAGAAGAGAGATTAACTCAGGATAAAGCAAGGTATAGTATTAATTCATTTATCAGGATTTTTTTTTATATCTACTCTTGCAAATAATTAAAGTTTGTGTCCAGGTCCAATGTCTACATTTCACTTTACTGTATTCTTATCATTTTATATCTCCATTAGTTTATACTCAGCAAACAACATTCACTTGTTTATAAATCTTAAATATACCTGGTAGGAAAAACTTATGATTTTGCTCTGCTTATGAGTCAAGAAATCATAATAACATGAATGCAAACAAACCCAACATCTTCTGTGGTTTGTTTTCCTGCTCTTTGTTTCTGGACATAATCTTCAGAATGTATTAATTATATCATGTACTAACCAAAAACTTAAGGCCCTAGTCACAAAGCAGCAGTCTACTAATTCCCTGAAACTAATAAATTAAGCTTTGTTGAGATTCACAAAGCTTTAATCTGCAAAATTGAACTAAACAGACAACTTTTAACCTTTTTAAGGTTGGTCCTGTTGTTCTACAGTTCTGAAGCCACAGTGTTGTTCCCATGGTACTTCACCATGAGCTCAGCTCACTCAGATAAGCTGTGAGTGGTAAGTTTGGGCTTAGATATGAGAGAATGAGTCTATGCGGTAAGTGTGCACCATGTAAAAAAGTGAGTCCTGCAGCAAGCAGCGCATAACCGGAAAAAAAAAAAAGCTGCGACCATGTTTTGGTTTGAAACAGCAACTTTGCAGTGTATTTTTGTATGGTTTTTATAGTTGTATTCTCGGTTTCTTGGTCTCATTTGATAGAATGGATAGAAATAACAATGATTTTGGTTGGTTTCATAAATGAAAGTAACTTGAAATTGAGCTCAAAGTAATGGAAAAGTTTGATTTTTGCCAATATTCCAGAGTACACAAAAGACATCACTTGTCCAATATGTGTCCATCTGGCCACTCTAATATGCATTTACAAATGCAATGACATTATACAATTGCAGCCTCTTCTCACTTAGCGACGTACTCGTCTAGCAATGACTTTCTGACCAGTATGCATACCTAAATAATGTAAAGTGGACCCCCGCCTTACGATATTAACCCTTTCAGGGTCCGTCCCGTAGATCTACGGCTTTACGTTCAGGGTCCAAACCGTAGATCTACGCCATGAGCTCAGCTCACTCTGATAAACTGTGAGTGGTACATTTGGGCCTAGATATGAGAGAATACATCTATGTGGTATGTGTGCACCACATAAAACAGATCCTGCAGCACACTGTGTATAATGAGAGAAAAAAAATGAAATCATTTTTTTTCGATTAAAACAGCAACTTTGCAGTGTTTTTTCGTATGTTTTTTATAGTTGTATTTGCGATTTCTTGGTCTCATTTGATAGAATGGAAGACATATTACAGAAATAGAGATGATTTTGATTGGTTTTAGCATTGTAAATGGCTTGAAACTGAGCTCAAAGTAGCGGAAATGTTAAATTTTTACCGATATTCAAGAGTAAACAAACGACCTCACAAGTCTAATACACGTCAGCTGGTGGGTCTAATATACATTCACAAATATGGTGATGATATTTATGCAATTATTACAGTATTGCATTACAGTAAATCTTCTATTTTTTGGTGTGAATAAAAATTCATTATGTGAATAAAAAATCAAAATGGAATTTATTTGTAAAGCCTCAAAACATAACTGATGAACAGAGGAAATGTTAGTTTAGTGCCAGGAATGCCTACATTGTTCATTCTGGACCCTATTTTGAAATTGGAATATTTTGAACTTTGTGTTAAATTGGCCAAATTAACAATTTCCGATCACTTTATTTTGTAGTTGAAACAGTTGACTTGGCGATTTCTTGTGCTCAATCGATAGAATAGAAGTAATACTAGTGAAATAGCTAAGAATTTGGTTGATTGGAATAATGTAATTGGCCTAAAATGGGAGTCAAAGTCGGCAAAATCGCTGATTCGTAAATATCGCTGACACATCAAAATTCGCGAGAGCATAATTTCGTCAATTTTCCACCAAATTTCGTACTTTTTGTTTTATTACCTTCACAAAAAGATTCTCTACGATTTCATAAGAAAAAATAACAAATTTTTTTTTTGAAAATTCTTGGACACTGGTGCGTGACTCCAGATTTGGGCCTTGGACCCTGAAAGGGTTAATCCATTCCTGAGAGCTCATAGTAAGCCGAAATTATTGTAAGGCGAATTAATTTTCCCCATAACAAATAATGGAAATCAAATTAATCCGTTCCTGACACCCCAAAGTATGGAAAAAAAAAAAAATTTCCACGTGAAATATTAATTTTAATACGCACAAACTGAAGAAGACATGCACAATTACTACTCTACTAAGAATAGAATCCATGACACTTACCTTTATTGAAGATCTGGTGATGATTGATGGGATGGGAGGAGGGGAGAGTGTGGAAGTTGTTATTGTTTAGAAGGGGAATCCCCTTCCATTAGGACTTGAGGTAGCAAGTCCTTTCCCAGGGTTACTTCCCTTCTTCTTTTAATGCCACTAGGACCAGCTTGAGAGTCACTGGACCTCTGTCGCACAACAAATCTGTTCATAGAGGTCTGTACCTCCCGTTCCTTTAAGATTTTCCTAAAATGGGCCATAACATTGTCATTGTACAGGTTGCCAACACGGCTTGCAGTAGCTGTATCAGGGTGATTTTCATCTATAAAGGTTTGCAGTTCAGCCCACTTTGCACACATTTCCTTAATCTTTGAAGTAGGCAACTTCCTAAATTTCTCTCTCCCCTCTTCTGAAGCAGTTTCCTCAGGTCTGGCCTCTTGCTGTTGAAGATGATCTTGCAGCTCATCAGTGGTTAGTTCTTCATTGTCCTCCTCCACCAACTCTTCCACATCATCCCCACTAACCTCCAACCCCAATGCCACAATGGATTCCACACTGGCATACGCTTCTCAGGGTTAGCCTCAAACCCTTCAAAATCCATTTCTTCTACACATTCTGGCCACAGTTTCTTCCAAGCAGAGTTCAAGGTCCTCTTAGTCACTCCCTCCCAAACCTTAACTATAAAGTTTACACAGCTGAGGATACTAAAGTGATCTTTCCAAAACTCTCTTAGAGTCAGTCGAGTGTCTGAGGTCACTTCAAAGCACTTTTGAAACATAGCTTTTGTGTAGAGTTTTTTGAAGTTTGAAATGACCTGATAGTCCATGGGCTGCAGGAGAGGAGTGGTATTAGGAGGTAAAAACTTGACCTTAATGAAGCTCATGTCCCCAGAAAGTCACTCTGCCAAGTTTGAAGGATGACCAGGAGCATTGTCTAGTACCAGGAGGCACTTAAGGTCCAATTTCTTTTCCATTAGGTAATTTTTCACAGTGGGGGCAAATGCATGGTGTAACCAGTCATAGAAAAAGTCCCTAGTGACCCATGCCTTACTGTTTGCCCTCCACAGCACACACAAATTAGCCATGACGACATTGTTTTTCCTGAACGCTCTGGGAGTTTCAGAGTGATGCACCAATAAAGGCTTCACTTTGCAATCACCACTAGCATTAGCACACATCAGAAGAGTAAGCCTGTCTTTCATAGGCTTATGTCCTGGGAGTGCCTTTCTTCCAAAACAGGCCTGTTTCGTCACAATTAAACGCTTGTTCAGGTTTCAATTCTTCACTGTCTATGTACTCCTTGAATTCCTTCACATATTTTTCAGCCGCTTTTTGGTCCGAACTGGCAGCCTCACCATGCCTTATCACACTATGTATGCCACTACGATTCTTAAATCTCTCAAACCAACCTTTGCTGGCCTTAAATTCACTCACATCACCACTAGTTGCAGGCATTTTTCTAATTAAATCCTCATGCAACTTCCTAGCCTTTTCACATATGATCGCTTGAGAGATGCTATCTCCTGCTCTCTGTTTTTCGTTTATCCACACCAATAACAGTCTCTCAACATCTATCACTTGCGATCTCTGTTTTGAAAACAAACTTGCACCTTTTGCAAGAACAGCTTCCTTGATTGCCGTTTTGTTGGCCAAGATAATAGCGATGGTTGATTGGGGTTTGGTATGCAACTTGGCCAGCTCCAAGACTCACACTCCACTTTCATACTTAGCAATTATCTCTTTCTTCATTTCCATAGTAATTTTCACCCTTTTTACCACAGGGTTGGCAGTAGAAGCTTTCTTCGGGCCCATGGTGGCTTATTTTGCAGCTACAAGCACTAAAAACACTGTGATAATATGAAATGTACCGAATGTATGCTTAGATGCGACCTCACTGGCTGGCTTGTAAACACTGGCACGCACGGGGCAGGTGAGGCCACGCATGGGACGTGTCCCGGACAAATCACGTAAGATGAGTTTTTTATTGTGAGGTGAGGCAAAATTTTTGCATTCAAATGCTTCGTGTGGCGGATTTAACGTAATGCGATGCGTTCGTAAGGCGGGGGTCCACTGTATATTAGAGCTGATTTCCTCTATTCTGTTTATTACAATATACAGTACACTACTGTATGTTGATTGCTAGCACACTCAGCTCATGCACTGAGGTCCAGAACTCGAATCTCCAGTATGGCTGGAAAACATTGGGATGTGCTTTCATAAGACACCTGCTGTCCCTGTTCACCCATCAGTGTAAAATGAGTCCCTGGGTGTTAGTTGATTGGTGGGGGTTGCATCCTGGGATGAAACTGACCTAATTTGCCCAGAATGTTCTGCATAACAAGGAACTTTCAGTATAGTAGTATGTCACTGATGTCAGCAAGGCCTGTATACCACGTACATGTACAGTAGGGTCCTGCTTTACGGCGTTTGAACTACCCAATAAATTGGGTAGTTGAAATCAGGAATTGGTTATTTGGCCAATCTTATACACAATTCAAGTAAGGCCAGTTTCAAAATAGGATCCACAATTAACAATACAAACATTCCTAGCACTAAAATAACATTTTCTCTGTTCATTAGTCAGGTCTCCTGGTCCCTCTTATGTTATGCTTGCTTTCTATTTTGAATTTTTAATCACACAAAAAATAGAAGGTTTACTGTTATGCAGACTACAGCAT